AAGGAGAAGTCGGTAGAAACCTTCGATGAGGCCCTCAGGCCTGGGAACTTCAGCAAAGTCCTCGAAGCTGCCAAAGAGCTGGCCCACTTCAACGAAGAGACCAAGTTCTCCGAGATCCCAGGTCTGATGTCCACCTTGGCGTACGCGCTGAGGAAAATGGCTGAACTCAAATACGCCTCGGCCGTGTGGGAGGAGGCGCACGCAGAAGAGCTCCGTGAAGCCGAGACGTTCATGAAGCTGGTGTCTACGGAGAAGGCCTTCAGTAGAGAGAGACGGGTGGACAACCTACCATCTGTCCCCTTCACACAAGACGCCCAGCTTCTGCACCAACACCTGGAGAAGGTCATGGCGTCGGAAGTGGAGCGTCTGCAAACAAGTGAGAGTCAGCGGTCTTACAGTTCACTCCTCAAAGTCCTGCTGGCACAGGTGTTGATCTTCAACACATCCACGAGGAAGGTCTCCAGGATAACGCTGGAGTCCTTCGTGGCCGAGGAGCACGATAAGGAAGACGTCGACGGTCGGCCCCAGTTGGAACAATTTCTTGCCAAGCACCGTTTGCAGATCAAAACCAAAGCCAGGTGCGGTCAAAAAGGTCAGGAGGAAGAGGTCACCCTCACCTTGACCCCAGACATTCTGGACGCGGTGAAGGTGCTCGTGAGCAAAAGAGACATTTCTTCCGTGTCTAAGAAAAATCCCTTCCTGTTTGCCACACCAGACGCGCCCCTGACCTTTGACCGGGGTCACCCACCCATCAGGTCCTATCTGGAATGTTGTGGCGCCAAAAGCCCCCAGAACCTCAGGATCAAGGGGTTCTACAAACACGTGGTGAGGATTTTTCTGATTCTCAGCCTCAGGTCAGAGGAGCTGGAGGAGCTTTCCAAACTCCTGGACCAGGACTTTCCAAAGGACAGGGAATATTATCGGACACCAGAGGCCGCCGTGGATATTGTGAAAATATCAGAGCTTCTGTCAGCGGCGGAGAACGGATCTATGGATAAGTTCCACGGAAAGTCCTTTGAGGACATGAAGGTTCCAGGTATGTTCTCAGAGGGAACCGTAGGAGGACCTTCTCTCTGTGAATTTCTTTAAATATTTAAACGGCTGTTTGAGTTTGATGTTTTTGTTGAAGATCAACTGCAGGTGGATCCACAACCAGAGGACTCTGACCACAGTGACGTCTGGGAGGACAGTGAGGACGAGGAAGGATCACGAAACGGTACATTTGAAAAAAAGAAAACACCGACCTTTGACCTTCTTGCTTTAGGGAACGGTTTTAACCCTGTCATGTTGTTGACTCTTCTCTCTTCTCAGACGCGTCGTGGCCCAGTCAGACCACTAGGGACAACAGTGAGAACTCGTCTGAGGACGGGGACACATCTGAAGACGAGGCGACGAAGCCACCGGAGAAAACCCTGTCATGTGGCAGCGAAAAGTCAAACATGTTTTCAAGCGGCGAGGACGAGGACATGAACGTGGATTTTGACATGGACATAGACACAGATGAGGACGATGGAAGTAGAGAGACGAAGAATGTCTCGGCTGAAACGTCAGAGAAAAAGGAGGAGGAGGAGAAGAATACCCCGGGGAGGGGCGAGGACGTGGAGGAGGAGCAGGGCTCGTCTGAGAAGAAGAACACTGACACAGATCAGGAGGAGGCTATGGACGTGGATGATGATGATGGTGATGATGAAGGAAGAGAAGAACATCGTGTGAAGGCTGTGGAAGACAAAAGAAGTCCAGAAAAAGAAGGAGACAAGCCAGATGTTGGAGAAGACCGTCCACCGACCGTCAGCCTTCACGCAGGTACGATCCTCTTCACATCTGTGGGTCAGCTCGCCACGTTTTAAAGATTAGCTTTGACCTCCAATGAAAATCCTACAGTTAGTCAGTGCACCTGTAGGGGGCAGTGATAAGTATAACAACTGTTTTATTGACAAATGTTAAATATCTACAGCAACGAAGAGGAAACTCTTGCTTGAACTGATGAAAGAAGTGAGGATATCACTGCCCAAGCTCAACATCGTAAGTCAAATATATTTTTTTATTTACTTCATCGCACAGTGTTTATAGGTTTGTACTAACATTTTCCTTAAAGTAAAAGTTTTTTTTTGTTTCCACGCCACTGGGACTTTGTTTAAGTTAAAGCATTTCATGTTGAACAACAGAAAAGTGAACAGGTCAGCGGTCCTTAAAGTAAAAGTTTTTTTTTGTTTTGGGACTTTGTTTAAGTTAACGCATTTCATGTTAAACAACAGAAAAGTGAACAGGTCAGCGTACTGTGTTAGTTTTCTGGGAATATTCTCTCCTCATGACGAGACGTATCTGGTCGTAGGAGAACCTGAACGCACCAGTCCCTGTGTCTCAGTTTTTATCAGCGCGTACAAAGACTCCAGCCCACGGTCAGCCCACACTGAAGACAACTGAAGACAACCGACGTCAAACACCTTCCAGGTCCACTGATGTCCAGAACAAGACGCCCGCCACTGAAAAGGTAGAGTGAAGATAATAATCCATCTATCAATCTAGACAGATCCTCCTCTTGTTGGAGTCACATTTCACCTGACGGGATTGTGAATTTTTATTTACATTTTTTTCCTGTCAGACCCTGAGCATGACCTGCTCCCAGTGCAGGAGGCTCATCTTGAAGGGTCAGACGGCCTTCCAGAAGAAAGGATTCCCAGAAGTCTTCTGCTCCAAAACCTGCCTGTTTGCCATGTTCGCCCTCAACAAACCAGAAGCCAAGACATGTCACCACTGTCACAAGTAAGAAGCCGCTAACAACACTACGACATAAATGACTGTTGACATACAGTCTACAGTACAGTCTACAGTACAGTCTACAGT